AAGAAAAATTAAAAAAACGAAAGCGTTATTTAATATGTAATTTCAGGGACGACACGAGAGTCACAACACTATAATAACAAGTATATGTACAGTATTCTTGCAGTATGTTTCGAATAAGTGCGAACAAATTTACACTCATTTGTTTAATTAACCTTACAGAAATGTCTCTTGATCGCGCGCTCACCGGAACACAACCGAGGCCACACGATGCGAGCCACGGAGAGATCGTGTGATCTCTCTCCCTGTTGTCGAATTTATTAAAGAATCGCGCAACGATTGTCGTATCTCTCACATATTCCACGTTCTATACCGAACAGTATTTTCGCGCAGGTCAGGCATTTAATAGTTTTTGCGTTATCTGTGTTAGCCCACGTTGTGTGCAAATACAATGTATCCGCGCGTGCGAATCCCGTGGCTCGCGAGTGTCCGGTTGTTTGTGCTCCGGGGAGGGCGAGGACTCAACAAATCTCACCAGCGCTGTTGCAAAGTCACGCCGAAAGACGCGGTAAGACGTTCCTCGATTGAGGAGAGATAGAAAGAGAGAGAGAGTACGGTTTTCTCTCTCGTAGAGCATCTCGTGTGTTTGATGACAACGCGCCTGAGCCTTGTGACAGCGCTGTCGCCAGGAAACTGTTGCACGAACAATTGATGTTTCGAGCGAACACATGATGAAACGAACAAAAGATTGCGAAAACTTGCCTCGATGTTTGCTCGAAAAATAATCTTTCGTTCGTGAAACGGAGCGTTTTCCCGGCGCGTCTTTCGTTCTTGTTTTTGTGCATTGATATAATAGCGACAGAATTCTAGATTCTAGAGAGGCCGACGCGGCGGCGTGAGAGCACGCGGATTTGTCCGCGTGCGAAGATACGCGGGGCTTCGATCAATCGATAATCATGCTGTGTGTGTGTGTTGACGACAGGCGCAGCGGCGGCCGCCGTCAAGCAGCGTAGACACCTGGGTCAGATTCGCGAGCACCCTTATCAAAGGGCCGGCGCTCTTTCGTGAAAACACAGAAAACAAGTACACAGAGAGAGCGCACGCGAGAAAGAGAGAGAGAGAGAGAGAGAGAGAAAAGAGAAAAAAAGAGAGAGAACAAAAGCACTGTTCTTGCGCCATCGCGGAAAGGTTAGTGTCTCTCTGCCATCAAACAGTTCATTATGTTCTCTCTTTTGTCTTTTTGTTTTTTTTGTATTGTCTCATTTTATCTTTTTTTTTTTTCCTGTTCTCATCATCTTCGCCAACTCCCTTTTCTTCACGATGTCTCGGAACGGTCGGAACGTCCCTTGTCGTTCACACAAAAACTTTTGTGGATTTATTTCCACACGAGGAAGGGGAGAAGGGAAAACTGCGCTTTATTTTCCAGTGAAACAAATATACAAGAATACTTGTCACACACACGCGTCGATTTGTGTGCAGAAATAAATCTGTAAAAGTTACTTCTTTTGAACAGAAGTGCGAGAAAAAAAGTGTCCCGACCATTCCGACGGCGATCTTATCTTCTTGTACATACTATATATATATATATATATCGCTTACATGTATCATCATCTAGATAATAAGACGAGACCCGCCCAACACAAAAACGTGCTCGGGGTCTGTATTCTGTGGTCGCCGCGAATCCGCGACGAAGAGAATACGGACGTGTTCTTTCGAATAAAAAAAAAAAAAAGAAAAAATTAGGATTTATTTTTTTTTACGTACAACAACTCGGTTGTGAGCTTTCACGTACGAATTAATGTAATGTTTGAAGCACAGCGGTGATGCAGCAGCAGCAATTGTTGTGTGTGTGCGCGCCTCGTCCTGTGTACCTGACGCCGCACCGATCGGTTGTTTTTGTTTTTTTTTTTTCTAATTTGTGAAATTACTTCTCTCTTTTTTCTTTACATTATTTACGTACACATACATACGTGCACATGTGAGCGGATTTCCGCGGTGTGACACAGAGCGAACAGAGGAATTGATTAATGTCGCAAATTGTATACATATTTATCCTCCTGCCTCCAGAAAAAATTTGGTAGGTCACAACTTCCTCAAATCTCCTATTCGACGCGGGAAAATCAATCAGCGCGAATCTTATTAGCTTTTAAATAGCACGAGATAAAGGAAAAGAAATAAAAAAAAGATGATTGTAGATTGTCGGTGTGTGTGTGTTTGGTGGGAATGAGAGAAAGGAAGAAAATCGACCGGGAGTGTCTGTCTGAAGTCGGACGCGCCGCTGTGGATTTTTTCAAAATTGAGAACACGACGACCGCGTTTACGGCGACACCATTTGTGAAACAACATCCGGTAGAATGTTTGCACGAGCTGGTCCTCGAATCGAATTTTCTCTAATAATATTCGAGATTCGTGTGTCGAAAACAAAAGACCGATTACACCGGAAACTGATTCACACAAGACGCGAACCGCGCGTCTTCTCTGTCTTCACAGTTTTCGAAGTGTTGTGGTTTTCGCGATCGGATTATTTGTCCGGAGATGAAGACTGTGCGCTCGGAACATCTTGCGTCAAGCCGAGATCTATAATTAGACACCGCGGTGTATAGTTGTTGGGGGAGGAAGAGGGTCGGGAAGAAGAAGATTTTATAAAATACAGCTTGCGAACGTTCAAATTTACGCGGAGATTTACGATTTTGTTTTTCGATTACACAAGAAAGATCCGGAAGATCGTTTTTACAGCTTGACGATTCCCTTCTCGGTCATTTTTAAAATCGTTTTTACTTTAACGCGCGCGCTTTAATTGTGTGTGTGTGTGTGCGCGGAGTGAATGTGCTTTCGTGTGTGTGTGTGTGCGTGCAAAAATATTGTAAATATTTCTTTTGGACGCGACAAAAAAAAAAAAATAAAATTAGTAATGAAAAAACAAAAAACGATTATAGAACGATGGTTGTTTTTATTATTGAGACATTGGGGTGGTAACGTGCGCGGTAAGATGCGAAGGTTTGTCCGATCGGTCTCTATATATCTGTTATATCTGTAAAATAATAACGACTGCAACAATTTTTGTCTTACCTTTTGACGTCAGTAATCAATCGTTTGCAAGCAAAGTCTTTAGTCTTCGCGCACTAATTAGCGTAGTTTTGCTTTTTGACCATTCTCTTGTTTCACACGTTCTTGTTACACGTATATTAATAAACAACAAGTAATTTATATATTTTCTGTCACACAAGCGTGCACTTTTTTCACACGTGTTCAATCCCGTTTGAGGAGAAGCAACGACTCGTGTAAAGACAACAAAGTGCTGACAGAGATGGCATCTCCCCCCTTTTTTTTCACGTATTTTATCTCACTAACTAACAAGTATTTTTTTTTTTTTTTTACATTATTGACATTCCTTATCATATAGACGTAATATCATCCATTACAGGCCGCACAACTGCACCATCTTTCTTTATTTATATAAACAACTAACAACACACACAACATGCTCTCTGTACACACACACAACATAATTTTAAACACTAACACGTACGACATGCGCGCGAATAAATTTGTCAAGCGAGAAATAATTGTTTTGAAAAAAAAACGAGAAGTGCTTGCACTTTTCGTGTAAAAAAACAAATGTTTATTCTTCTTTGACAAATTGTTCTTGCGCCAAGTTACACACGTACGCATTATACGGTACATGCACACACTCACATATTACGCACATGGATACGAGTTGAATGCGCTCGTGCGAGAATTTTTTCTTTTTTTTACTCAAATTAAACAATTGCAGAAATTGTTTGAAGATGGTATCAAAAACAAGTTGAGATAAAAAAACGAGGTGCGAGCGCATTTAATTCACGTTACATGCCCACATATACGGAGATTCCGTATGTACATTACACACACAGAGTTTCATAAATCGCGGATTTTCAAACAGTAATTAAAAAAAGATTCTACGACTAAAATCTGAAAATTTCTCGTCGAATCTTAATCTCTTTCGCTCATTTGATTCTTGTATTCGCACGCAGGTCTGTTTCAGCGTATGTCAATAATAATATGCTTCTTTAAATTAAAAAAAAAACAAACAAACAAACAAAAACGAATGCCTGGAATTGTACTACAGATATCTGTCCTGTATGGCAAATGCAAACAAAACTCATGAGCCTTTTGACACCTGCTTGCTGATGGGACATTAATCACTAAAGTTGAATATATATATAGTGTTTCGGTACAAATAATATATACCGTCATTATTTATAACGTATTCGGAATTATCGTTAAATAATATTTGTCATTTACCGGTGCTAATATGGTGGCAGGTGCACACCCAGGCTGCCTGTTTGAAATTTTATGTAATTTACACACAGAAATTCTCGAATGCAACAAAAGTTTTTGCAGTTTTTTATGCATCACGTGTGAAAAGTAAAAACAGTTGATTGATCGTTTTGCTCAAACGTACATACACAGGCAGCCACGTTTTTTTTTTTTTTTTTTGTTTTTTTGTAACCATTGTAGAGTAGATGCACCAGTTATTAATTTTTCTCTCGAGATTTGACATTTTCAATTTTGTTCTTCTCTGGTTAACTGGAATTGTGATGTTCTCACTTGTTCTTAGTTTTGCGAGAAAATTACGTAGTTTAAAATTGGCAACGGACAAATAACATTGCAATTTAAAAATCAAATCGTGATTATTGGTGCATCTATCCTCAGTAAGTTTATTACAATGATGTGTCTGTCAAGTTTGCGATTATTTTTTTTTCTTTGTGAATGTCTTGTGGCGCGGGGAGGGTACACGAGGGTCACATGTCACTTTTCGTGCGGAAGTCAAAAATGGATGTTTTAATTGTCACGAATAGAAAACAAAAACAAAAAAAAAAAGAAACAATTCGCAAAGAGTAACAAACAAAAAAAAGCACCAGCTTGATACGAAACGTGATCTCTCGTGACAATTAATTAATTCAAGTTTATTATCTATTGTCATGACGCGCGTACGAATGCTTCACACTAATAATATTACAAAGTAGCCCGTGTGCAAAGCAACGCTTCGTTGAATTCTTTCGTCTAACTGAGAAAGCAATTTTTCACAAGCACGAAATTAAAAAAAAAACAAAAAAAACAATCAATTCTCTCTTCTCGAAGAGACGACCGGGTCTGATTGTTTGAATCGCAGTTGTCTTCCGTTTTTATCTTACTGTGTACATGTTGCGACACGCCGAGAGACGAAAGCGTTGCTTTTCACCACTAACTTATATTTTCTCTCAGCTGGCGAGCTACTAGTTACTTAATGTTAACGTCAGTCAGTCATAATCAAATTACTAACAAACTGTTTTTTCTTTTCTTTCTTGTTAACCCCGGTTGCCCGTGGCCTGTAGGCTTGGAGTGCTAACAATGGATATCCACTCGCCCCGTGCTAACAACTGGACTCTGGAACAGCATCCCGCGTTCAATCGGTTCACCAACCAGCCGACCACCTTCGCCGTCCGTCCGCGTCACCAGCCCCGTTCGTCAAGCTTATCCATCATCCTGTGTCCTCTTAAATGTTCGGGAACATTTTCAGTTCTTCACGCGCGTCTTCGGCGCGAAAACGAAGAAATATCTCGCCGAGAATCGTTATCCGAACATTTTTCTTGTCGTCTTCGTATATAAACGCGCGTAAAAACAAGTATATATATAATATATATATACGCATAAATTATTGTCACATGTAAATTACATTTTATTTTAATTCGCAGGACATTTACACGCAGAGCGTTTCTAAAATGCATTTTGCGCAATAGATACACACAGATAATAATCGAGACATTGTCATCATCGCAAGATTTTTTTGACTTGAAACGATAAAAAATTTAGACACACACACGCACACACATCTATATGTGTAATCTACATCTCATTTTACATATGACAAAAAGCGATCGATATGATTGGACGGCGAACTTTTCGAAATATTTCACACACACGCGGAAAACAAGAAAACAATTACGAGGATACAAGGGACTCTGTTATTATTTTTTTTTTTTATTTTTTTTACGAACAGCAATCGTTTCGCGCGCGGATTCTTTCCAGATTTTGGTCTGGACGTGAGTACGATCACACACGGAACACTCGAATCAAAGTGCAATGCTGGTACACACAGCAGCAATAGTTTTTTTTAGCTATACAGACAAGATGGTTCATCGGAATATTTTTTTACTCCTTCGTTGTGTGGGAGAGGGAGGACGGGAATCTCATTGTAAGCACGCGACATGTGTGTATATATATATTCGAAATGTAACATTTTTGTTTTCTCTCTCTTCTCGCGCGGCAAACAACCAAGTGTTGTTCGCGCTTTTCCCCAGTACTTACGACTACGCTAGCATCTCCCGTCACTCGGAGATGACAGCGGAGATAAAAACGCGACAACGTTTATATATACATATATATATATAACTTAAATACAGAATTAACGTTATATTACGCGCGCGCGTGCGCAGTTCTAAATCAACTGCTGAAGTGTGTGTTGCATGAAAAAAACAAAAAAACAAAAAAAAAAAAAAGAACCAATCAGGAGATTTTCCGAACAAGGATCTCGTTTTTGAATTGCGAGCGATTGTCTCCCTCTTTTCTCGCGCGACCACCAGTCTCGTGCCAGGAGAATCTATCGAAATTCTGAGCAACTCTCTCGCATAAATGTGCCTTACGCAGCAGAACGAATGTGTAACGCGGTCAAATTTGTGAGCCGTGATATACCGTACTATAAGATAAGCTTTTCGTTAAAAAAAAAAAAAAAAAAGTAGACTACGTAATAGCGTTAGATTTGTGCAATTAAAATTTATATATGTATATACATATAATCTATACCTTATATATGTATGTATATGCATCCACACATATATATATATACATACATATACAAACACGTATATAATATACATATATGTATATCTTTCTTGCAAAGAAACGAGTATATAGAAAAAAGCAAAGAAACATCCTCTCGAGGTTATTGCTATTTTTTAACAATCTTTTTCGTTGCCACGAGAAGGACTGTTAAGACACACGCCTGTTAGAGAGAGTCGCGATAACCAGAAAAAGAAGAGAAGGCTTTAAGAAGTCCGCTATCGAATGCGGGTGTACAAGAGAGAGAGAGAGAGAGAGAGAGAGAGCTACGTGTACATATAATTGGTAAATATGTCGAGGGGAGCAACTTCCGACAATCCCGAGTTTGTCGCATATTATCAAGGTCGTGACCTTCAAAAGGTTTTAAGTAATGCTCACCGTTTGTTGAAAAGTTGTTAACAAAAAATGTGTATAGAGAACTTACGGCCTTTTACACATATGCCTCTTATACATAATACGATATTTTAGACATATGTCTTATATAATATGTTTTATATATAAATGTTGATGAAAAGATGTATTTTGATATAACATGTCACAAGTTCACAGTTATACAAATCATTTATTTGAGAATTGTACACGATATCCAAAACTGAAGGTTTATTTATAAAACTTCTTTTCGATACAACTTTTTAATAAACAGCTTTTTTCAAACTCCTCGGATTGATTCCTCATTTTAGTGATGTAATAAAGCATTTTTTTTTTTTTTTTTAACCGGATTAAAATAGCCAAAATTGGGAAAACGCACATATTTTGAGCAATTACCAACAGTTTTTGGTAATGACTTTTTAACGAACAGTGAGCATTACTTAAAACCTTTTAAAGGTCACTTAGCACCATGACCTTGATAACATGTGTCAATATCAAGCTTGTCAGAAGCTGCTCCCCTAATCGGCATATTTACCACATAATTTTTTTCAGCCAAAAGTATTAAGAGAATAATCACCGATAATCTATTTTTAGAACGCCAATATGTGCAATATGTTTAAATAAGATGGTCTCGACAAGACATTTTTGTCGTTCGTGCTGCTAAGATTTCTTAGAGAAATCACGAATTCTCATATACTTGAATTCTTATATACTTTGCAAAAGTTTATTCATCTCGAGCCGCGTAATTGTTAAATATATATATTTATGAATATTTATGTGTACGTATATGCGTATACATGTATATGTGTATATATATATATATGCATATATATATGCATATTTTTTGATATCAATATGAACGTTAACAATCGGGCAAACCGAAGACAAACACAATCCAATCGGAAACTTTTGCACGGCACAAAACGTTTATTTAATCATACGAGATTTTTTTAATATTTACGAGATATTATATATTATGTAAACAGAAAGTGTATGTAATAATTTTACACGTGCAAGAATGTTTGTGTAAGAGAGAATGACTTACTTAAATATCGACTCTATATTAGTTGCACCATTTTTAGGGGTCTGCCATACTATATATATATATATATATGTATATATATATGTATATATGTATATATACATATATATGTGTAACAATTAAGAACGATCTTTCTTCTCAAGTTGCGCACGCGTCACACATACATATAAACTCATGTGTAGCGTCATTCTTTACGTGTCAAATACTCGTTTTTTCTTTTTTTTCTCGAACAGAAAATATCTTGGAGATTTTGTCCGAAGAAAAGTCTCTCCTCATAGATATACCGATAGCTTAGTCTTTCGTGTATATATACATAAGTGTTTGAAAAACAAAAAAAAAACCACACATTGCTACATGCATTAAAAGAGAGAAAGAGAGAGAGTGATCTGAAATCTACTTAAGTTCGCAAACGTAATAAATAATCTGATATTTTATTATTGTACGTAAATAATTGATTTAAATGAAATAGTTTCGAATGTCTCTTGTTGTCCTTTACACAAATGCAATTATGAAGGTAACACGAAGAAATTTGTATGTGTTTACAAAAAGGTGTGATGATTTACATAGGAAAAGAGAGGAGATATCTATACACTTTATGTATATATGCTGTGTCTATTATATACATACGCGTGAAAGAAAAACGTAAGTTATTACACATGTATACATAATGTACTATACATACATACACACCTGACTCATTTGAATCTGGAAATGCAAATGAGTATAGCGCTTTACTTCTGCTTTAAAATTCCCGAAAGAACAAATTTTTTTTAAACATCATTACATCTTAAAAAAAAAAAAAGAGAGAAAAACAAAGTTTGACATAGTCAAAAAAAGTATTGGCAGTACAGTGAAGCATGTGACAAACCAGATTTTAAGCTAAAAAATGGTTTCTTTTCGTTTTAGATTAACTCAAATTTCTCTTGGAAACAGTTGGTTTTATGTAAATTTAATTTAATTTGCTTATTATTTTTAATATGACAATTCTTTCAGATCACTACTACGTCGTCGCAGAAGTATCGCTATAGTTTATTTATATATTATTATTATTATCATTATTATTATTATTATTATTATTATTATTATTATTATTATTATTATTATTATACGCGCACATGTATACAGTTAAGTTATATATACATATATATATATATATATATGTGTATAAGAAATTATATATATGTGCAAGCAATTTTGTTAGATCTTATGACGTGAATTTACATTTATTATTCTCATAGTTATATATATATTTATATATATATTGTATATGTATATGTATATATATATATATGTATATATATATATATGTGTGTATATATATATATATATATATAGTTTTTGCCGAAATTTATTATATAATTTTTTAGTTTCATATTTTATTTTAATGTTGATATGTGCAGGATACGTGGCAATATTAATGTGTAAGTAATGTGAAAAAAAAAACGATTACTGAAGAATTTTTGAAATCTCTAAAAGATCTGATCTTAGAGTGTATTATTATACGCTGCGTGCAAGAGAAAATTTTTTGGAATTTGCTATGTGAAGATATATACAAATAAAAAATTAGTTTATATACAACACACACATGTATAAATATTATTATTATTATTATTATTATTATTATTATTATAAAACGGCAATAAAAATATTTTTTCAATATTCGACAATTTCTCTTTCCTCAGCACTTGGTGTAAAAAGAAATAAAGTCGAATATGATAAAAGTAAGTTGGGCAATTGTACGCGTAAGGTGAGACATTTGTGATACCAAGTAACACATGTAACAAGGTATTTACAGTTTATTTTATTTCTTTATAAAAAAACAAACAAAATACTGAATGTTTTTCACATTATTATTATTTACATCAGTTACGGATTTATATACAAGCGACATATCTATGACTAAAAACTCAATGTATATGGGACTTGAAAGTGACGAATCTCAACTTAAGACTTTGGTAATCGATAGAAACTGCCGGAGAGCAGTAGTTGATGTTCTCTGACTTTTCTGTCTAAGAACTGTCTTAGTTCCGGTAAACCGCATTCGACGGCTCCTGGTCCTTGAGACGCGAACATTTTCAGCATCTGATGAATTCTTTCTATGGGTAGCGATTCCAGATTCGTCAGCATGCCAACGATATACGACCAGAACACTTGTAGCTCCTCCTCCCGTTGATCGCTGGCCGAGGCCATGGCGCTCTCGGTCTCTTCTTCCTCAACGATGTCGGTCGGCAAGCGACTCTTGGACGTGCTCTCTTCCTGCAGAACGTACACGTCATTGGACGTTTCTTTCAAGAGACCCTGCGACACCCAGAACGTGATTTTGCGCCGAAGAACGGTCGCCGGCGCGTGCATCGCCTCCGCCAGATCTTGCAGAACCCATTCGTCTGTAAATCATTTTTAATGTAACAACAACAAATGTAACAACGACAAACAAGCCCAGAATCCGTTTCCTTACTTTTATCCTGAAAGTGCAAGATGATCGTCGCGTGCACCGGTGTGACATTTATGTCCAGTTTTCGGTCTTTTAACTCGATCTCCAGACTAACGTTTCCCAGATGAGGTTTCCAGCAAAGCGTTCTATTTCCCTTCAAGGTCTCGAACGCCTTTACATATTTGTTCAGTTGATTCTGCACGATGCTCGGCAATTTCAATTTCCAGTCCTCCTTGAAGGGCGGCCAGAACTGGGCGGACAATATGAGCGCGGAAGTGGGAAACAGTTCTCTCTGCAGGTTGTAACTGGTGTCTGAGTGGATGTTGCCGTCTATTCTCTTGGAGTCGTAAACGTCTTTCAGCATGACCTCGCAGTAATGCAGCTGGTTCTCGTCAAAACGTCTCTTTAGTAACTCCAAGTGACGTATCTCACGTTCGGTGTGATAGTTGAGTTGCGTGAGCAGCCTGTCGGCCAGCAATGTGCGATACTCGTTGACGAACAAATCCTGACTACCGTATACGTTCACCAGGATGGAGATTATATCGGATACTTTGCGTTGCGTCGATTTCGCTGAAAAAAGAAATACGTTATTGAAAAGCCACGTGCAATTAGTTTCAAGTTGCGGTAATTAAATCTCACAGTTTACCAGGATCGGCATCAACTGGATCCGGCATCCACTTTTCCCAATCTTCGCTTTCGTCTTCGGCCGAACCGTCGTCCAACTGCAGACGATCGCCTTTTACCAACTCGTCGGCCAATTCGCTGGGCGACGAATCGTCAAGCAGGCTGTTAACGACCGAACGCACGGTGTCTTCTCTGCTTCTCAAGTAGCTTCTGGAAGGCAAAAATGTTCAGAGAGATGTAATAAAAAGCCGTGATATATCGATCTACAGAGACACGAGAGTTTTACTTGATTGGCTCTGTTACAGCTTCTAGAAGAACTCCGGTTGGATCGAGATGCTTGAGCGCTTTGATCGCGGCTATGTAGGCAGTTACTATATCCGTAGTGTTTACACCGGGATGCAAGAGTCTCGTTTTGATCGCTTCCTGCAGATTCTGAACGAGAACTCGACGCTGATCGGTTCTTTCGAGACACACTCGGAGATCGTCCACCGCAGGCTGCGACTCGGGATATTCTAGACGAAGAAAGACAACAATGCAAATACAGAAATTTTTAATGTAACAAATTACGCAATTACGGAATCTACCTATTATTATATTAAACAGATGATCGATCCTTATCTTGGTGTAAGTTTCGTACAGAAAATGTGATAATTTTTGTTTGAACTTGTTTATGGCGTTGCAGACCTCGTCACTGAGTCCCACGGTTTTCGAAAAGCCACCCGAATAAATTCTTATCAGCCAATTCATAACCACAGTCTCGAGCCACTGAAAAAAACAAAGAAAAATATTTATAAGTTACATAATTCTAATATATATACGCGTATGTGACAATAAAGATACATTGACGTATTTACGTTTTCTAAGGGAACCAGTTGTGACACATCAAATGTCTTGTCGCACATTTGAGTCACGTGATTTTGTATACGAATGTGAATCAGGGATGTTAGCACGTTTCCCACAAGTCTTTCCAACAATTCCAGTTCGATCAACTTTCTGTTTGTCTCGTGAAACATGTAGACTATCATTTGACACTGGCAGTTTTCCATCTCCTGGTTGCATCCTGTGCATTCGATCTCATTGGTCGACATTTCTGCTTTAAAACACATTTATTTAATATTTTTCACCACATCAAATTCCATTCGGACAAATTGTATATACGCAAGAGCTTTGAAATTTACTTCAAAAACCCAAATTAATTAAAATTCTTAAGCAAAACTTACCTTGCGCCGAATTGTCCGAGTTGCAAAATACGTTGAACGCAATTTTGTAGAACTGTTCTACGATGTGTTCGTGGCCAAGAGGCAATTGACTCAACAGCGTCACTCTCACAATAAGTCTGAACTGGGCCTCTGTTTCATTTCTGCCGTTAGATGCGTCAAGCGCGGCGTCCTTGTTTCGCCTTAAGTAATCTATTTTCTTGAAGATGGGTAAAATTTTTGTGAGACTTGCGTAAAGACCGTCCACAGCGGACTTGAACAACTCGAATCCTCGCTGATTATCTTCCGTATTCTCGAATTTTTCCCAGAACGCGGGAGCTACGTGCGAACGAATGTATCGCTCAACGTGATGAACAACGATGTCCTCGACAAACTGTGTCGAATTCAAACTTCGTACGCTTTCCACTATTTCTGCGAATTCGTTTTCTGTACACGTGTCGTCTTCAATCTGAAAAAGAAGCGTGCAGTGAACAAGGAAGAGTTAAACACATTCGTTATTTATTGGGAAAAGAGTCAACAAAACTAAAACTTTAGACAACAGAATCGGGCGCGGAAATAACGAAAATAAAAAAACAAAAAACGAAGGTTATAAAATGTCAAAAAGATATCTGCCGCATGTTTATGAAAAAAGCGAACATTATTTTAGCGAGCATTACGTTATTGTTAACACGCACCTTTCCGTTAAGTATTGGAAATGCGTATTCTATTTTCTTAAGTACATCTTCTCGATTTGTTGACTCTGTCATGGTAAATTTGTGTTTTTCTTTTAGAGTTTTCACTCGAGTCTTCACTTGAGTTTACACTTGCGTGGTTTGCTGTCAGCTGTCAGTTTCTTCTCTCCCACATGTGCTCTGATCGCTCGCGCCATCTGCGACCGGTGTTTGTTCATAACCTCGTGAACTATTCTCGATCATTTTTCGAAAGCCGATTAATTATTTGCCGATTAAAAATTTGCTTGCGGTCAACAAGAACGCAACTGTCTTTGTATCTTAGCAAAGAGACGCAATCAATTTGTATATTTTATATTCGCAAATATGTTGTCCTCGTATATATTAACAAAGTGAGCACAAAACTCGATCACTAACAATTGTGTATTATTTGTGGATAAAATTGCATTTTCTTATTGTATATTACTTTTTATGTAATTATTGCATACAAGAAAAATATTGTGTAAAATATGATAGAATAGTTTTGCATCTTTGTAATTATTTTGCAGATGCAATATAAGACCTTCAAATGGAGCATTGGTTCAGTGGTTGAATGTTACTGTAAGATTGTGTTCATCATCATCATCATCATCATCCTCCTCGGACTCGTCAGATTCTGATTCTGATTCGGAAAAAACAATACCAAAGAAGACACACGTTGAAAGTTCTGTAAGTGTTGTGCAACATCACAGTCAGATGACAGAAATAATTTAGGAAGCTTTTTGAACAATGTGATACAAGTAAATTGTCATTTTGTAATTTTTTAATATTTCTGGTCGTTATACAAATTAATTTTTACAATTGTCTGTGATTATATCAATATTTTATTTATTATTTCTTAGCAAAATACATCTGCACCGACTAAACCTAGTGAGAAGACAGAAAAAGTAGTACAGGTACATTAAAGCTCTCTTTAACTTATTTTCCATTATATATATATATATATATATTCTTTAGAATTGATATTTTTTAAATTATATCACATTTAGGAACAAAAAAACGCAACTACAGAAGCAACAAAAAAGCCAGCAGCTGATTTAAACGAGTATTTAAACAACATGATGAAGGTATTTATCATATTTATGTTGTGTGTCTCATGTCTCATATTTGTGCTGTATATTTTGCAGAAAATGTTTCTTTAGATAGAAAATTATCTCTTAATTGTTGTTGCAGGCAAGAAAACTAGAAAAAACCATTGATGTTGCTATAAAACCTAAGAGCAAAAAATTGTTAAACAAATTGAAATCGTTACCTTATGGTAATTGTGCCCAATACTTTAAATTTTTACCGGTATAAAACTTGTTTGATGATGTATCAAATTATATTGTTTTTTTTTTAAATAGAAAAACAGGTAGAAAAGGCAGCAGAAGATGTGGCCGATACATTAGGCGGAGATAAAACAAAAACAACGTCTGATTTGCTTGAGAAAGTTCTCGCATCCAGAGTAGAAACACTGAAAGTAGAACAATCGAAAAAGATGTAATTACACATTTATACATAAACTGTTTTTTTTTTTCGTCAATTATATTTATACAATTTTACATAATATTACATAATTTATCGAGCATATTTCTAGATATTCTTAGAAACATGATTTTCTCAATTTTTTTTAGTAGCAACTTAGAAAGGGAAAAAAACCGACAGAAAGAGTCGGAATTAAAAAGAGAAGAATCACAATTTGAGAGGAAAAAATCTGTAATATACAATCTTCTTGAAGAATATAAAAACCGAGACACTAGCGCGTCAAAAAAGATATCGAAAAAGTTTGAAGAATTTTCACCCAGGTATTACGTGCGCAAACATTAATACGCAAATTTTGGATCGGACAGGATGACATTTGTATTATCTATGATTTTTTTTTTTAATATATTGAAATATTAACAGATTATTGAAGCAAGATATTGATATATGGAATGGGGAGCCCAGTCGAGAGTTTGACAACATGAGTCCCACTCCGTCGAATATACCGGAATTGAAAACGTGGAGAGAATTGGAACAAAGGGAGCTGAAGGCAATGACAACGTATCCGCCAGCCAACATCTTTCAAGAAATGATTCTGTGGACGGAGCAAGGAAAATTGTGGAAATTTCCTATCGACAATGAGCAAGGTTTCAAATTCATTACGTTTTGTGACGTCTTGTTTTCTTTGGTACATAAAGCGCAATGATTTTATATATATATTTTAGGAATGGAAGAAGAGAAGAACGTTCATTTCTCGGAACACGTTTTCATGGAACGTCATCTGAAAGATTGGTGTCCCAAGTCGGGACCGGTGCGCCACTTCATGGAACTGGTGTGCATCGGCCTTTCCAAAAATCCGTACATGACGGTTCAAGAGAAAGTCAATCACATTATGTGGTACAAAGAATACTTTGAATCGAAACGAGATCTGTTGAAGGAGATTGGAGCGATTGGGGAGTCGGTTTCGAAAAAAGCGCCCGAGATTCAAGAAGCTTAAAGTTAATATAGTTTTAGACATTTGTGCTCTATAATTTCTATGTATTCCACTATAAATAAAAAATATCCAAACTAAATTAAATTCTGCGATCTCTTAGGGTCAAAGCGCATACTTTTGCATAACGCACAAAGGCCTGTCCACGTAAGACGCGGATTGGTTTATTTACAAAATAATTAAAAATTTCATATATTGCCTAACCTAACCTAACCCTAACCTTAATATTATCTAACCTAACTTAACCTAACCCTAACCTATTACGAATGTTGTAAATAGCTGGTATAAGGAACATAGTTCTTTAGGAAAAAGTTGTTGTTAATATATATTTTATCTTGTGTGTTCTGAGAGAACATCATAATAAATTGTACATTATCGTTACCAAAGTTCTAAAAAATGCAATATAACTGATCAAGTAAGTTTGAACTGATTCAAGATAAACTTTAACTGAGAGTAAGTACAATAAGATATCTTAAATAAGAGATCTTTAAAGAGTTATAAATCTCTTTAGATACAGTTACAATTTTTTTAGGATATTAAAATTGTGCAAATTCTTATTTTTAGGTTCCAACATGAATGTTTTTTCGTTTAAATACAGAAACCTGATAATGGGTGTAACCGCAACCGCTGTTGGATATTACGCAGTTCTCGCACCGCATACTGTATTTCTGGATAAGTATAGATACGTGACGGCCAGATATCAGTAAGTACAACAGAAAAAATCTCAAGATCCATACTTGGCCCGAGTCTGTGATGTGCAAAACATTGGTTTTTTTTTTTTTACAAACATACAGAGCTGACAATGAGATTCCGGTGGGTCCCGCAGTCAAACAGAGAATCCAGAAAGTAATGGACGATATGAAATTACCCGACAAAGTGAGGAACGTCATAAGACCGTTCAGTGCGTTCAGTTTCGATTTGTTTCACGCTGGGACCTTGAACCCCAAGTACGGCGCAATCCTGGGGATTCCCGCCAATTTTATCAATTCGGCAAAAGAGCTCCGTGACAAGTTAACAATCAGGGAAGAGCTGGTGGACTGGACGCGACAGGACGCGCAAGCTTTCCTGGACGCGGCGATACTATCCGAGAACGCGCAGGACTTCGCGTTGGCGCGCGAGATTCTCTGGATTCTCGCGGAGGAACCGTATTTCAATTCGCTCACACTGGCTGCGATTATAGCGATATTTTGGTCGTTTTACAACGCGATTACGCACGCGTTTAAATTACGCGAACGAAACGTGATAGTCTGTCGTATGCTTTACTTGTCGTTCGCGTTAATCGGTGCGATATCGTGGTTCGGTATCAAGGACTATCGAAGTTACAATCTCGACAAGAAACACAGCGAGGTACTGTGCGACTTAGGACCCAGGTACGTCGAGGGAGGACAAGAGTTTTACGACAAATTAATACGCAGAAATAAAGCGCTCAGAACTCTCATGGGCGACGACGGCAAAGACACGTACACCGCTTACGGAAACGAAAAGACTGTCCTGAGACAGAAATATGTGCCTCTTACGCACAAAAAGGAATTCTTCGATTCGCGTCCGCGAGAGGATAACAAGGAATAAAGTAACGTTGTTTTTTGTACCTACAAAGCGATGAAAACTATTTTGCATTATCAATCTTCACCGTCCCGAATCCTTGAGAGTTTTAAGAAAAGTTTAAACGACCAGAGTTTCGCTGGATGTGCGCGTGATTTTGCTTTCATTCACAGGTAAGAGAGACTCGTGCCTCTGCAATATATTAAAAAAAATTGTGTAAAAAGCTCTCGTCGAAAAGTGCATGCTCTTTTCACATGTCCACAGGACATGATTATTTCTCTGCAATGAATCACAAGAGCACGTTTTTATAAATTTATATATATACATATATATTTTTTTTTTTACGTATAGTACGTGTGTCTTATATATACGTAAGTTTTGTATAAATTAATATGTTTATTTATAAAAATTTCAAGTATATTATATTTTACGTTATATTGCTACTTTGTACAGTTTTTGTTTTTGTTTTTGTTTTTTTTTTTTACATAATTATTTATAAAACTAAGGATGCTACGTTTATAACGATAATTGCCTTAGAGAGTTTGTGCACCTCTAAACAGACAGGATGTACACTTCGGACTACGAGAGACCTAGCGAGCCGAGCTGCAAAGAGAATCACGAATGAATTTTTTATATATTAAACATACACACGTTAAATATCTTCAATAATTCTTCAATGTACACTTGCCAGGGTCAGCTTGTCCTCCTCCTTCTTAAGTATTTTCGCCGTTTGCTCCTGATCGAACTTGACGACAGCGGCGATCACCCGGGCGAGCACCATGGTTTCCCGTCCCATCATGTATTCGAAAAGAATGTTTCTGAGGTACTCGATCTCGGTCGAATCTTCCAGCGTGTCGTGCCGCAGTTTCACCAGTTTTCTGAGTTCCGCGAGCTCTCGTCTCTGGGACGTGAGCGTTTGTTGCAGAGTGTGAATCGAACCGGTGCTCGTCTGTATCGCGGCCATCGCCACGCGCGAAGTGCTCTCCAATTCCTGCGTCAAAATTCGATTTGCACAAGAATAAAGTTTCTCGCGGATATAAAAATCATCCAATCGAGACAATTCGTCATTGAAGAAACATCATAGAGAAAAGAAAGATATACGCGCACTGTTAAAAAAAAAAAAAAGAAAGAAAAGAAAAGAAAAGAAATAAAAACAAAGCTTTTACCTCTGAAGGCACCGCTTCGAGATGAGCACCAGACTGAAAATAATGCGAATACCATGAACCCGAATAATATATTAAAAAATAAAATTATAAAATTAAAAAAAACTTAAAAAGTAAATACAAAAAACACACAAATAAATAAACAAATAAATAAAAAGAACGTAAAATTAAAAGCAGCGAGTTTGAAATATCTTGCAACTCCGCTCAACTGTTTACCTTCCTTTCGTTCTGCCACTCCTTCGTCAGCTCGTTCAATTCCTCGTCGTGTTTTGCTTGCAGGTTGTCAATTTTCTGTTGAACTATGGATTTCCATTTCTTTTCCATTTCCTTTATCTCGTTAGCGTGTTCGCTTTTTATTTGAGCGATGGTGTCCACCAGCCGATCGATGTCCTTCCCTTTCTCCGCCATCGCGTCCTTCTTCTCCAGTACAAGACTCTCGAGCTGTTCGGATTTCTCCGACAGTTCTGTTTGACAATCCTTCAGTTGTTCCTTGTACTGTTGCACGAGATTCGACTCGTAATTGTGTTGGCGATCTGCGTTTAAAAACAGATTAAGCGCGCTCTGGTCCTTTTTCCTCTCTTTTTGTTTTATAAGAAGACAACAATCAAGTAACATCTTACCAAAACGTTTCTCCAGGGCTGCTTGAAGCTCCTCCTCCTTGTCGTGCAACTGAGCTTGGAACTCCTTGACCAATTGCTTCAGCCTCATACCTTGCTCCTCCTCGTTCGTCTTCAGCTGTTCCTTCAATTGTCCGGTTTGCGTTCTCAGTTCGTTGGTAACCAGCTGCATCTGCGTCTCCTTCGCCTGGAACGTAATCAACGCCTCGTCAAGCTGACCCTCCAATCTCTTGTTCTCCTCGCGCAGCTTGTCGTTGTCCAATTTTTTTGCGGTCTCGTCGTCGCGCACGCTCTCGAGTTCTTTGCGCAGCTCGTCGTTCTTTCGAGTCAGGGAGTCAATTTCCGAATGCAATCCGGCTAGTTTCTCCTCCGACAAAGCGAACGAACTTCTCAATGCGTTCAGTTCCTTCTTTCGTTCGTCGACTTCCAGCGAGAAGTGTCTCAAGTTTCCGATTTCCTGTGACATGTTCGAATTTTTGTCCTCCAACAATTTTATTTCCGCGTCCTTTTCCGACAACAAATGCTTCAACGCGCTCAGCTCCGTCGACGAGGTCTCGGCGGATTGCAGAACGTCGATGCTCGATCGCAATCTCTCGTTTTCCGCTTCCAAGCTAGACACTTTGGATTGCAAGTTGTTTGCCCGAGCTTGCAGTTCCGCGTTGCCGGAACTCGCGCTTTCCAATTCCGCGATTTTGTTAATCAAAGCGATTTGTTCGGCAATCAATCTGTCGTTATCCGAACGCATCGTTTCCGCGTCTGAATTCTTTTGAATTAAATCGCTTATCTTCGATCGCAATTCCGTATTTTCATTTTCCAATTCCTTGACTCGTTTGACTTCCTCGTTCAGCGACTTGAGTTCCGCGGCGAGTTGTTTGTTCTTCTGTTTAATCGCGTTGCCGTTTGTCACGGCCGCGTTTAACTCGGCGTCCCGTTCGCCAAGTCTCTCTTTGATTTCTCGCAATTCGTTCTCGTTCGTCGTCAGTTTCGCGTTCAACGAACTCAACTCCGAGTTCTTACTTTCGAGTTGCGCGTTGACGGTCGCCAATTCCTCGTTCCGACCGTTCAACCGAGACGCGTACGATTCCTCGCAGCTCTTCATCGTTTCGCGCAACTCCTCGACGTTCTTCTCGCAATCCGTGATTTTTCGCCTCAAAACCTCTTCGTTTTCGCACAGCTCTCGATTGCGGCTCAAGAGATCGTTGAGTTTCTCCTTCAGATTCTTGTTCTCCGAAGTGATCTGAGAATTTTCCAACTTCAACGATTCCACCTGCTCCCCGGACGTTTTCAACGCGTCGGACAGTTCCGCGCGCTTGGTCTTCAGTTCGTTGAGCTCGGCAGTGGTCTCCTCGATGGTTTTGACCTGCTGATCTTTCAGAGCTTTCATCTTCTTCAGCTGCACAATTTTGACGTTCAACGTCTCTTGCAGCACTTTGTTGTTCTCCATCAACTCGCCGGTTTCCTTCGCGTGAGTCTCCCTGGTCGTCTGATATTCCCGCTCCAGATTCAGATACTTCCTCACGTGTTCCTCGATCGCTTGTATGTGGCTGTCGCACGTGGACTTCAGATGGGCGATGTGTTCCTCGTCGCTCGCTAGTTTCTCGTCGCGCGTCTTTACCTCGCGCTCCCTCTCGGCCAGATCCTCCCGCAGACGAGCGATCTCCGCTCTCGTGGCGTTCAGTTCCTCTTGAAGCGCGCGCTGACTCTCGCTCTCCTCCGACCTGAGCGAGTCGACGAGGTCGGTCGCCTCGCGCAGTTTCACGCTCAACTCGTCCGCTTCCTCGAACGCGCGACTCGCTCGCGCGCACTTTTCCCTCAACTCGTTGTTTTCGGCAAACAGCGCGCGATTTGCGGATTCGAGATTGTCCAACGCTTTCAGACGCTCCTGACCGATCTCGGTCGCTTGCGTCAACTGACGGGAGACTTTTTCCGCGTCGTGAAGTTTGAAGGTGAGATTGTCAATCTCGGCAATCAATTTGTTGTTCATCGTACCGAGCTCGTCGCACCGGTCGCTCTTCAGTCTCATCTCGTTTAACTGCTCGTTCGTCGTCTTCAATTCCGCTTCCAGCGCGGCTTTTGCACTTGCAATCTCAGTCAGTTCCGACCGCAGTTCCGCTTCCATGGACGTGAATTCTTCCGCGTTCCTCGCTTGCAGACGCAATTTGTCCACCTCGGACCTGAGTGTCGCGTTTTCCTCTTCGAGTCTCGCGAGATAAGCGGTCAGAGTCGCGTGCAGAGCCGATATTCCGGTCTTTCGATCGGATAACTCTTCCCTCACGACGCTTCTGACGTCCACGCAGTCCTGCTTCAAACGCCGCACGCAATCGTTGTAATAAATGATGCGATTTATCAAGTCGATTCTCTCTTTCTTCAGCAAACTTATAGCCGAACTGTCCGCCTGAACCTTGTTATTTAGATCGTCGATTGTGGATCTGCAAAGTTCGAGCTCGTTTTGCACCGCGTTCAGTTGCGCGTTTTTGTTCTCCAGTTCTTCTTGCAGTTCGATAAGCTCCGCGTTGTCGTCCAGTTTGTCCTGAAGGGACTTGATCTGCGCCTCCTGTTCGGTCAACTTCTGCTTGGCCTTCTCGAGCATGCCCGTGTACTGCTGCACTTTCTTGCTGTAATTCTCGCACACTTGGTCCCGATCGATCAGGGCGTTTCTCATGTTCTCCAATTCCTTGTCAACGCTCTGCACCGTAGCCTGAAGCTTTTCCACCCTCGACTCCGCTTCTTTGCGTTTTTCCTCGGCCACGATTCTCTGCGCGTCGTATTCGCTTTTCAGTTCCGAGTACGTGATCTTGCAGGCCGTCAATTCAGCGTTCAGGTTTTCCTTCTCGCGTTTGTATTCCACATTTTGCGACGCCAACTCGTCGCATCTAAGCTGCAATTCTTCAATCTCGATTTCCTTTGAACGATGCGTCGATTCGAGTTGGTCTTTTTCCGCGTCTTTGCCGCGATCTACTTCAACCTTTCCCTTTGCTTCCATCTGCTGCGCAGACTTTGCCGCGTCGACCTTTTCCTTAGACGCGTCGTTCGCTGTCGCACTTCTGTCTACGTCTCTCGTTTCGGCGTGCGATGATCTCAGTTTCGTCAACTCGTTCTTGCAATTCGCCACCGTCTCGTTCAACTTCTCCTTATCCTCCGTCACGTGCTTCAGATCGATTCGAAGCTGCTTGATCTGTTCCTCCTTCTCCTCGAGCTCTCGGTGCACCGAGAGCTTGTTCTCGGCTAACGAAATCGCGGCTTCCTCTTCGCGTTTGTGCAGAATGTCCACTTGTTCCGTTAGTTTGTCGATCGTGGCACGGGCCGCGCTCAGCTCGTCCTCCATCGCGCTCATTATCTCGGCGCTGGAAGTTTTCAGGGTCTCGTAATCGCTCTCAAGACTGTTCTTCTCCTTCATCACCTCCGTGAACTTGTCCTTGTTTCGCTTCAACGATTCTTTGTACTTCAAAATGAGGCTTTCCAATTTTTTTAACTTGTCCTTAAGCTGAGCGTTCTCCGCGGACAGCGCGTCGTCGTTGGGCGACGATTCGTTGCTCAGATCGATCAGATTAACTTTGGAATTTTCTCTCTGTTCGACGTCCTCCGAATTATCCAACGTCGGTCCGCTCGCTTGCAACAATCTCACTTTTGTGTTCAACGTGTTGATGATGTGATCTTTTTCCTCTATGTCGTTTCTCAGAGCCTCCTCCAAGTGCGCTTTCGCCTGCTGCTCCAACTGACATTGCTCTTTCAGATCGGTTATTCTCCTCAGTACTTTGTCTTGCGTTTCGACCAGAACCGACTCCAATCTGCCCTTTACTCTGTCAAGTTCGCGATAATGGGCGGCCAGGTCGGTGTATCTGCCGCGATACTTGTGATATTTCGCCTGGACTTTTCGATAAGCGGAATACAGTTGATCCTTCGTAACTCTGTCGAGATGGGGACTGATGTTGTCGTCCACCTCGCTGGCTGACTGATCCATGTCCGACTGCAAGAATCAAACGTCGTGATGAACGACGTTGCAAAACGTGCTCATCCGAGTTTCACAGAAGTTTGAAACAGAAATACACACCTGTAAGTGATACAGATTGGGAGGACTTTCGTACATTGGAAATAGCGATGACGCATCGCTCGTTACGCTGCTCACTGAGGATCGTCTCGAGATCTCCAGGGGATTAGGCGACGGTGACATCAGATCGACATTCTGGAAACTGTGCTTTGGAGTGTTCTTTGGCGTTTCTGTGAAAAAAAAAAAAAAACGTCTCTTTAAAAGCCTGACGTTTTCGTTTGTTCCCATCGACTCACTCTAAAGTCTGCCGAACATTCTCTGTCGAGCACCAAACGCGATAATCAAGTCCCGCTTACCGTCTCCATCTTCTGTCAAACTGAAATTGTCATTGGACGTTGACACTTCCTGAATGGAGCTGTTGGACAAGGCGGGCGACACCACGGCCTGAATGCGGCAACGGGGAGGGAGGAAGCGTTGTCATGAAAAAAAAAAAAAAACAAAAAAAATCAATAATTGTCATTTATCGATTAAAGAGAAGAGTTTTCGGTGAGGAAAACGAGAGAGAGTGATAAAAAAAAGAATGAGAACCTGCGCCAGTTGCTGCACGCTCGCCTGTAACCTGGCGGGAGACTGTTTCATCTCTTCCGCGAGTTTGTCCTTGAATTTCTTGAACATCGTGACCGCGAGAATCACGGCGGAAATCACGGGAGAGACGCGATAAGCCAAGCGATAACGGACGCAAACCGCGAGTTCTCCGCAACGATCGAAACTTGGGCGCGGGCGACGATGTTTATCCGAATCGGGATCTGCGACGCGGAATTCCGCGAATCCGAGCTAGAGCGACGAGATAGCTCGGCGCGGAAAAAAACATATCGGAACCGCACTTCCCATTTCTTGCTCCGGATCCTTCCTCCGAGATCTGCAAAGTAGCGAAATGCCAAATCTCTCTCTCTAATGCATTATTTGATTATATTTCATATATACGTCAAACGTGCCACATATGTGTGTGCCGCCATTACGGCGTGAGTGTCTCGATGACGTCATTGGCTGTCAAATCCCGTTTTCACTGGCGAGAGCCAGCGACTTGTCGTCGAATCATGACACCAGTTTTCAAGTCCGCGACGGAGGAGCGTAAGATCCAGTTTCGTCAAATTTCGACAATCCCGAAAGGCGCAAGAAATCGCAGGCTCAAAAAAAAAGAAATGGAAATACTCAACGGAAATGTTAAAGCGGTAACGTCAGTTCTGATTTAAATGCAGACTTAGGTTATGTGTCTTCTCCCCTAGGATTGGGCTGTTCGCGTTCAGTTCTCTTCAAACTCGGACGGATAGGTCCGGATAGATCCGCCCCGGTCAAGGACCTCTTCTTCTTCCGAAAAAAAAAAAAGCAGGTCCTAGATGAGGAATGTCTTCCGGTGCGAGGAATCGATAAGCTTCGTCGCGCGGATTGGGATTTTGGTTTCAGGACCAACTGTCTGGGATCAACGAACATGGGTGATATTGATTTACAGTGTTTTATTGCTATTGTACACTTAAATAAATAACGTTGCAACACCTGCCGCAATATATATATATATATATATATGTAATATATATAACATATTGTCAGTTACTATGTTCTCAGAAGCGATCACTTCACGCTCCGGCGAGTACAAACTTCCTCGCTGTTTCTCAATTTCGCATTTGCCAACAACATCAGATACATCCGCGAGTATCAAGCGATACGCAAAAATTTTCCCCCGTATGTACAATCTTACAAAGTACACATGTGTTTTTAAAAAGGAACCAAAGTTGCCGGAAACCGCACGCGTTTCGCATCATCACAAATTGCTCCCTCCCTCCCTCCCTAGCAAGCAAGGAAAAGCGAAGATTTGTCACAACACAGACGGCACATCTCTGAACAAAACCGGATCTGAACTCAAACTTTTTATTATTTGTGATCACATATATTTATGTGGATGCGCATAAACGAACACCAACGGTTCGTTGACAAAACAGTATCGCAACTTGATAACGTCTTGGATAAACGCGTCTCGCTTCTCTTCCACTTCTTTCGTTTCTTTCTCGATCGTTCGACGCGAAACCTGAGTGTTTGTGTATCGTTTTATTTTTATTTTTTTTTTTTTTTTTCAAAGGGAGATAGAAAATATATTTGCGCGGCGTGGAGACTGCACACACGTGTCTCCGAAAATGCACATCGAATTAATACTTTGGTAGTGTTTTAATACCGACGGGCGAACACAATCGCGCGCGGGTGAAACCCGCACGCGCCCGACTCACTCTCTTTCTCTCTCTCTCTCTCTCTCTTTCCTAGTGATTAGAAATCCCCGCTAGAAATCTAGTCGTGTATCTCTAATTGTGCTGCGCTTGCGAGTTTTTTTTTTTTATCTGTGCTTTCCTATATTTCGAGAGAACTTCTATACGAAGCGCACGCGCAAAAGTTTTTGTTTTTCTCCTTTGATTTTTAATCACGTTTTTTTCTAGTTTTACTCGGCATCGTCAAAGACCCTCGTGTTATTGTTTTTATTTATTTATTTAACTCCGTTTCCTGGTTTCTGATCGAATGTTGTACGTTTTTGTTTTTTGTAATTTGCGATTTTTTTACGACGACCGGATTGTTATCGTGTTAAAACGAACAAAAAAAAAAAAGAAAAAGTGACAATACGTTTAGGATCTCATGTATGGATAGTCGTATTCCCGCAGAGGGGCAAAGTTTTCCTTGATCGATTGCGGGGATGACCAGCGCAGAGCGTAATGAGGTCCGCCGGCTTTGTCATTTGTGCCGGACATTCGGCTGCCACCGAACGGTTGTTGGCCCACCACCGATCCGGTACTTTTGTCGTTCACGTAAAAATTGCCGGCGGTGTATTTGAAGTCCTCAAGCGCCTTTCTCGCCCATTGCCTGCGCGCGTTAAAATAATTTTTGTAATATTATTAGGTAACTGCCCTATATAGTTCGCGTTAGCGTAATTAAAAATTATGTGTAATTATATATAGTTTCAATTTTAAAATAAATTAATATTAATTACAACCGAATCTCTACTCACTCGTCCTGCGCGAATATCGCGCCTGTCAAAGCGTACGGCGTAGACGTCTCTACCAGTTTCACCGTCTGATCCAGATCAGAGTCCTTGTAGACGTATATTGTCAGTACCGGACCGAATATCTCTTCCGTCATAAGTTTCTCTTTCGGATCTTTGGTTTGAACTATTGTCGGTTCGATGAAGTATCCGCAACTGAAAAAGAGAGACTCGCGCTTTAGAAAACAACAGTTCAAACCTATTATCGATGATGATCAATTCAAGGGAACAATTGTCGAACACGTACGAATCGTCACAATGTCCGCCGCCGAGAATTTCCATCTTGGACGACTTCCTCGCGTAATCGATGTAACCGGAAATCCGTTTGAACGCCGTGGCGTCTATAACGGCGCCGGTGAACACGGTAAAATCTCGAACGTCGCCAACTTTGAGTTTTTGGCGGAGATCTAAGAGGCCGTCCTTTATCTGGAAAAAAAAAACAAAAAAAAACGGAACGTTTTAAGCGAGAAAAGATACGAAACGCGAATAGCCCGGGATTCGAATTTTCATCGCGCGCTCACCTTGCCCCACAAAGACTCCGGCACGTACATTCTGCTGCAAGCGGAGCACTTCTGCCCGTTGAACTCGAACGCGCTCTTTATCGTCGCGTAAACAACCGTCTCCGCGTCCGCGCTCTTGTGAACGAAGTGGTAATTCTTGCCGCCGCACTCGCCGATTAATTTCGGATAGTTCCTGTATCTGTGAAGATTCTGACCGACCTGCGCCCACAGGCGATTGAACGTCGGCACCGAACCGGTGAAGTTGAGCCCGGAGAGATGGGGCGACGACGTGATGGTGTCGCCGAACACCGGCCCATCGCAGGGAACGAAATTCACCACGCCGGGCGGCACACCCGCTTCCCTGCATATCTTGAAGATCCACCAGTTAGACAATAACGCGGTGTCAGACGGTTTCCAGAGCACGGCGTTACCCTACAATTGTGTGTGGCCGTCGGACACACGTGATCCATTATTTTTACTGTGATTGACACCTGTGATTCAAAGTTGTCAGTAATGGTTTGCTTTACAAACCATCAGCGCCGGCGTGTAGCTAAGATTGCCACCGATGGCGGTGAAGTTGAAGGGCGAAACCGCCGCTACGAAGCCGTCCATGCCGCGATACCTCATCGAGTTGAGGGTCTGCTGATCAGGCGAGATCGGTTGGTACTTGAGGCTGTCCTTGACGAAGTACGCGTGCATCTTGAAGAAGTCGATCAGCTCGGCCGCGCTGTCAATCTCCGCCTGGATCACGGTCTTGCTCTGACCGAGCATGGTGGCGGCGTTCAACTGTTGCCGATACTTGGTCGCCATCAGATCCGCTATCCTCAGCCACAATTCAAGTCGCTTCTCGATTGGTTGCTTCTCCCATTCGCGTTGCGTCTTCACCGCTACGTCGATCGCCTTCTTCACGAGTTCCGGCGTCGCCCAGTAATACTTGGCGACCTTCTCCTTGTGATTGTGCGGCTGGAAAGGTCGCAAAATAAGATTTTCCAAAACTGTATCACACGTCACAAGCAAACTTGACGAGACAGACGAGCTCGGAACAGAGACGTACCATGACTTGAAACCTGCACAGATCGGTCTTGATCTCCTCGTTCCCGATGACCAGCGGCACCTCCTCGCACTCGCTCGCCATCTTGTCCAGGGTCTTCTCCAATTCGGCTCTCTCCGGACTGCCCTTCTTGTAGCTGAGAATGGGCTCATTTTCCAGCGGAAAGTCAGGTGGACTCGGCACCGGCACCACCGACCCCAAGCATCTGGCGCCAACTCTGGCCGAACAAACAACATTCAGTTGAATAATCGTCGACGATAACGAGAATCCGATCTTTACTTCCTGCCGGGGAAGTCGCGTCGACAAATAATTCGAGATTTATCTCTCGAGCCTCTCGAGAGACTCGTGTGCATTCCCGATACAATCTCCTCTCAAATATTTATCAGCCACTCTTGCGGACAAAGCTTCCGAGTCAACAGTCTTATCGCTGCTGTCATATACGCCTCGAACTTCGGGAAACTCATATATTTTGTTTGTGTGTGTTTACGATGTTCAAAAGAATTTTTATCTAACTCACATACGAACTGAGATTACGCGGGGATAAGATAATTTCGTGTCGCGTGCGAGATCTATCTCTGTGACACAACCATTATCAAATCAAAATTCTTCTCTTGACAGACATATGGGTCTTCCAAATCCAATCAAAAATTGCGCGTCGACGTCTCTGGTATAAAAATTAGTTTTTTCTTTTTTTTTTTAACGCTTATCTTCGAAACTACTGGAAAGGTTTTTTAAATTTGTTTCTGATCGACGCGATAATTGTTCGAACTCTCGATTCGAAAAAATAAAATTGACAATTTCGCGGAGATTTTAAAGTCGCGCGCGAGTCTCACCAGACTCGGAGGGTCTGTCCAACCGACAGGTCATTTTCGAGGTCAGGTCGCGAGGGATTAAAATCCCACGAGAGAGAAAGGAACGCAGGACGTTGTTCCGAAAATGGAATATTCGCGAATCGCAATGACGTTGCGTAACTTCGCTCTAATCCTAAATTATTCGTTTCGATCGTCCCGGTCGTACCTCGCGGAGATAATCGCGACACAAATCGCATCGGGGAGTAAATTAGATCATTAGAGAAAAGTTGTGCGTCACTTTTCTCATCGCGGTTGTTGCGACTAAGTGATTCTTGAGTGTTTTTTTTTTTTTTTTAATGAATAGTTTATCAGATCACGGAAAATCCATAAATTGCGGTCGACGTCGCGATGATTAATCGATTGCGGCCTCAATTGTTAAAAGAAAAAAAAAACTAACGGAAGTTCTTCGGTGACGTATCGACGTATTGAGAAAACAAAAAAATATCCGTGCGAAACGAACACACGTTTATTCTCGCTGAGGAAACCCGCGAAATTTCTAATTCCGTTCTCTTTGACAAAAAATTCGTCGCGCAAAAAAATCTCGACGCTTTTCATTTCACTTGAACCGACCCAACATTTCGCCGTCCTCGGACAGAGAAACAAAGAACACAAAATGAAAACTACCTCCCCGAGAGACGCGCACGCTCTTCTCTTGTCAACATTAGTTTCTCTCTTCGCAATGTCACATCGAGACGAAGAAATAAACAAAAGTTTACGTTTCTTTTTCCAATTTGCAAACGCAAACGTCTGCTATTCCGACAAACGTCTCGCCATGTTCATCCCGCGGGAATAAACCAAAAAAAAAAAACAAAAAAAAAAATACAACGAGAGAGAAAGACTCAAGAGAAACGCGTTTTTTACGCGAGACAGCGAATAAACAAAAAAGCGAACATTTTAAATAAAAATAAACAGATCGAAATGAGATCGCCACACACCGGACTGACGATCGGTGTGTCACGTGTGTCCGTCGGTGCGATTGAACCGACGAGAGAGGTCCGGAACGCACCCCGGGGGGGCCTTTGGTTAGCTCCGACTAATCGATGATAATGAAGAGCCCGCGTGTCTCTCGTCTTCTCTATTATTCACATCCATAACGAGGACTTCGCGACGTGTAGGTGTACGCGCGAAGTCGTGGAACATAAAAAATAAAAAAACATGCTTGCGAATATCTTTTTTTTTTTGTCCGAAGAGAACGAGGACAAGATGTTCGAATTATTGACACACAGCGTGTCATCGAGGTGCGCGTCACCTTGCAACGATATCGTTCGCACGTACCTCTCTCTCCCCCCCTTCCCTCACGCCTCCTCTAACCAACATATGTTCTTTTAAATATATTCGCCGACCACAAGGACGCGAAACCCACGGATCGGTTATTATCAGAGGCGGGATTGCGTCCCCGTGAATCGCGCAATCCGGAGACGACGATGACGACGACGACGACGACGTGAGGAGCACACGATTGCGGTGCCGTATGATCGATATCGTCACCACGAGGGGGGAGGAGGGAGAGAAGAAAGAGAACTGTGTTTAGAGTCATTCTCTCTCTCTCTTCTTCTGCCCGTTTTTTTTTTTTTTTTTTTTTTTACACAGGATGTAAAAGCGGGCTCGCGACATTGCGCGAGAAATTCTCGTTTACTCACTTTTGGGTATTCGCCAGCAACGCCTGACGGCAAACCAGGCTCAACATCTTTCAGCGGAAACGTGTTGGACGAGGTGGGCGAGTAAAGAAAAGGATGGATATACGGTCGCGGTGTGTAAGTGCGCCCTTCGCCACATACAAACGGGGCACACACACAGAGGCACACGCGTGGATCCAAAAGCGGCGGATTGTGATACAAACTCTTTCTCTCTCTCCTCGACTGACAGCTCTTCCCGGACGGTGAACACGATTCGATCCGGTCGAATCTCTCCTCGCGTATCTCGGCCCAACGCGTCTGCCCGGTATTGTCCACCGAATTGCCGAAACTGCGTACGGAACACGGGGCAGACGCTACCATCGGCCGAAGCGCGCTCAGTCCACGTTTCCCCACCTTTCTCGCGAGGACGCCCAGGGACGTATGCGACAGGTTCGACCTGTGCGTGGCATCGGGTTTTTCTCACCCGGTGTGTGTTGTGACTCATTTTACGTGTCACGAGTTTACGTTTGTTTTTTTTTTTTCAAGAAAATTGTGAAATTTTTCCACGAGGTTTTGAAATTTTGAAACACACACGGAAACGCATCCCGGTGTCGTGTGTGTTTCCTTTTTGCGTCACCGTTTACACGGAGAGAAATTATATAGAGAATTTGGTTCGCAAATATAACACGAGAGCGTCGGAAACGCGAACCTGCCGAAATTTTTTTTTTATTTGAAATTCTAAACGTATATACATTAAATTTTATATTGAGATTTTATTGTATATACGTGTAAAATTTATTATATCATATCTCTCGGATTCGATCGATCTCTCACCGTCGTCCTCTTTTACATTTTGCTCGCTAGAATCACGTTATGAAATACGGAAATTTCTTTTTCTCTGGATTTTCGGTAACTTTAACAAATAATTTCAATTTTTTTTTCATCGCGTTAAATTTACGTTCGTGTTGTGTAAAACTCCTTCGAGAATTGCTTTAAAAAAGTAAGGCAAACAAAAAAAAAAGATTTCATTGCACTCTCATCCCGCGATATTGAACACGTCGACCTAGTGTCAATTTACGACCAGATTGTCTAATCAAAATCAATGGATGAATAAAGCTCCGACAACATTATTACTCTGTCACGTGGTCTCCGTTACACACCTTGCGACAAGTCTTGCGCAAGATGAGCAAATTAAGGAAAATTAATCTGTTGTTCAATAATCTGTTGCTTTTTATATTTTTGTTAACTTCCGCGATAACAACCAGTAACGCAAGATAGAGACTAAATCGGTGTTCGCTTTGCTTCTTTTTGATTGAACGAATATTGTATATCCGTCGACTAGACATATACACCGTTGCAACACGCAACAGTGCGTCGAAATGCCAAACACGCCGAGTCGTGCTGTATGCAAACGCAATTAATTTTTATGAAGATGTTGCGTAATTTTTTTTAACGTTAAAAATAAAATTCTAAGAACGTTACTCTTCAAGCTCTTCATGCGCAGTTAGGGAAACACACAGATAGATAGATAGATAGATAGAGAGAGAGAGAGAGAGAGAGAGAGAGAGAGAGAAAGAGACACACGGAAAGATAGAAACAAATATAGAAATCACATACCAAAGTACGTAACGCGATTTTCGCATCAAAACGGTTTATCTCTGACCAATAAGTCTGAGCTAAAAAGACGTTCCTCAAAAGAAAATCGATTCGCGCGTTAACGGTGAGATGATGATGTCGACAAGAAAGTTGACAGGAAAAATCTGTTAATCTAATTATTATTGTATTTCGAACAATGTTGTAATGTGCCTTGTCTCGCGCGTTAAATAGCGGGGATTCAATGTGCCGACGCTGAAACAAAAAAAGAGACAAAAAGAAAAACGTCTTTAGGAAAGCTCACCTGTGAGCGACGGAAGGCCAAGATGCGTTACGTAAGACGATCTATTTTTACACAAACGTCATTATACATATACATTGCTGTGTATTTCACATTTGTTCTTTTTTTTTTTTTTTTTTTTAAATTGAACGTTCGAATGCGTTAAAAAAAAAAAAAAATAGGTTTTCTGTCGTGTAATAAATCCAGTTCCGTTGAAAATACACCGTTCTTCTCTGGAAGGAACAAAAACAACATATTCTGATGATTTATTATCTTCACTCGAAGAATTAACTTGACGAGCTCAGTTTTCCTCTTGCTGCATCTGTAGCTCGCGCAAGAGCTGCGCCCTTTGTTTCTCCAGCTCGTCCTCGGACAGTTCGTGATGATCGTTGTTTTCCGTAACGGAACCCTCGCTGTGAATCGAGGACCGTCTGAGCTTCTCCTCCTTTCGTTTTCTTTCCGGAGAATCCTCGGAAGACGGAAGTCTCGAATCCGAGCGCTAGAAAAAAAAAAAAAAAAAAAATCAAAATAAGTACCTTTCTACTTATTCTTCTCGGTTATAAAACTCAAGAGAGATCACATTTTACACGTACGGAATGACTGCGGCCTCTTTTCTTCTTACTCTTCTTTCTCTTGGACTTCTTCGTCTCCGACTCGGAGCTCTCGCCGTTACTGGGCACGCTGGGTGACTTGTGCTGTTTTCTTCTCAAACCTTTATCACTGCCCTCCGACTCCTGGTAACGGAGGAATTAATTAATTTCACTTAGCGTATATAAATTTCTCAGAGAAAATTAAAAAAAACGCGATTTCATTCAGTCGTACTCACGCTGTGCGAACGCGAACGCGATTTACGTTTCACCTTTTTCGCCTTTTTCTTCTTGATCCTGATGTGATGATGACTGCAGCTCTCCTCGAGTTCGTGCTGATACTCCTTGAATATTCGCGCTCTTTCGCTCTCCAACGTGATCGCCTTGAAGTCCGGTTCTTCCTCAATCTTTGGCCTAACGTCTTCCCACGTCATTTCGTAGTCGACATTCAGAGACTTCAGCAAGTTCTTGAATCCCGTTTCCAGCTTCTTGAACTTTCTGGCTTCTTCCTTGACTCGTTCCTTTTCCCGTGCTTCGGCCTTCTCCAGCAGCAGGTTGTACGTCAGCTTGACATTGCCCGCGTCCAGAGTGGCCGACTTGCGGTCTTCGCACACAACTGTGGCAAACTCTTCGAAGGTCGTGTTGACTTGCACCTCGAAGTTCTTGTCCTTCAGTATTTCGCGAATGATCTTTTTCTCGTCGTGAAACCGAGACTTCAGGTCCTCGACATAGAATTTGAAGAGGTCCAGAGGAGTCGAGCCCGATTGTCCCAGCATAGCTGAGAATCGAAGGTCGGCGGACAGCATCGGATATAATTCTACCCAGAGCGACATTGACGTTAGCTTGCCCTGTTCGTGAAGCTCATCTAGCAGGTACTAAAGTATACAACGATCGTAACATAGTAGAGTTAAAACAAAAGAATTTTTTTTCCTGTATTATATTCTGTCTAGTCTCTAAGTTTGACTTGAAATATCAACTAGTAACAATAAAAACTCGAATCCAGTCTGCAATACTCACTATAAAACCGTCTCTGTTTTTTCTCTCCTGCCGTTTTCTGCGTTTCTTCTCGCATTCTTTCTCTTCCTCCTCGTCCTTCTCCAGCTGACGTATATGATTCTCAAACACGATCAGAGCGTCTTCCTTTTCCATCTCCAGCAAATCCGCGTCTTCCGCGAACGCGGGGTGTTGCAGCAACAACGCCTGTGCCTCCTGCCACGTGGTCTTGTACGTTACTTCGGTCATCGTGTCCAGAACCTGTGCCAGTCTCTTGGTATTTCGTTTCTTCAACTGTTTCGCCTCCTCCTTCTCGCGTTTCGCCAGATTGAAGATAACGTCCTCGTAAATGTCCCGGCGATCCGAATCGCCAACTGCTCTCCAGACTTCCAGATTGCCGAACATCTCCTCGCACTTGTAGTACTTGGTCGTACTTGTCATTCTGTCGCTCTCCAACAGGAATTGCTCCAGATCTTCCTTGGCTTTCTTCAATCTGTTGAAAAATAAAAGTTATTCTTTGCTTGGTTTTCAACACCGTGTTCAAAATGTTGTTATTCAAGTAACGCCAATACCTGAGTCTTTCCTGTTCGCGTTCCTCCTTCAACTTTTGCATCTTGTACGAGTTGAAGATCGATTTGCGATCGCTGAACTTCTTCAACTGCGGATATCTGGGATCGTTTTGAATCAACTTCACCGCCTGTTCCCACGTGGCATTAGACGGCACCTCCTTTTCCCTCAACAGCTCTTTGAAAGCCTCAACCGCTTCTTTTTTATCTTTGAATTGCAACTTCGGCTCGGGCGTACTGGTGCGACTGTCATTGGCCGAACCCATCGCGGAATTACTGTCCTCGTCGGTCTTCGTGGGCGGTGGCGGAATATTAATCGCTGCGAGTGTTGCGGCCATTGCCTGCTCGATCATAGACTTTCCACCTGGTTCCGGTGTACTGGTCTGCGGTATGTTTGTGATATTTGGCGATACGTGTTGCATGGTTACAGGAACCATAGTGCTAAAAAAAAAAAATGTTAAAAACTTTTCTTCAAAAGTATTCTCTCGTCAAAAGAAGATAATTTTAATATCGTCAATTTTACTCACGTGTTTGTGGCGCTAGCTACAGCCGCCGCAGCAGCCGCGGCAGCCTCTTCGGCCATGATTCTGGTCTTCAACTCTTCCAATTCCGGCGGAATCGTCCATCTGGACTCCTTCGTGGTCACATTGTGATAATACACTTTCCCGTTCTCCGACTTGTATTCCTTCCAGGGACATTGCGACAACAACAATTCGCTGGGTGTTTTCAGTTCGTCCGGTTTTTCCCACAACGACTGTTTCGTGACGCTGTTGTAATAGTACGTTCTACCGTCCGGGGCTTTGTGCTCGCTCCAGTCGCTCTTCTTCTCGACAGCGGACACAGATATCGCTGTGGTGGTTTCGCTGTTGATAGGCGACGGAGGAGGAATTCCCGGCGCTGGTATCTGCGGCGACGCTGTGACAATGAAACAAGGTGATTTTTATTTGATCCAGGAGCGCGCAAACCTATGTGAATTATTTAGGAGCAGATACTCACTACCTACTACTCCAGCCTCTGGAGGAGGTGCAGCGGTCATGGGAAAAGTGAAGCCAGGCGGAGGTATAGAGAACTGAGGTGGCATTATACCTGGAGGACCCGGCGGTAAACTGGGAGGAGGGATGAAGGGTGCTGTGGGCATAATGGGCGGAACAAAGCTAGAGGTGATATTTGGCGTTGCCGGTGGGAATCCTGTCACAGCAGCAGGTGGTGGAATACCATCGTTCGAAGCCTAACAATATTTTGAGACATGTCAGTCAGAATCTTTTTACAATTTTAACATAAAAACATAAAACACGCGTTGTTTATTTTGTCACAGCCCGCTTTCTTATCGTTCATTTTATCTCAAATTTATCTCGAAAGAAAAAGAACTACTAGTTACTCTGTTAAACTTGGGCTGATAGAAGTTAGAAAATATAGGATAAATGCGGTACTCTCTCTCTCTGCGCGTACAATTTTTTATCTTCTCCAACTTTTACGGCACCGGCCTAAAGTTATTACAAACCTAATCTTTACTTGCAACGAGAATTTACCAATTCACATGATCGTTCACACTCGTTTATCAATTTGCAATTATTGTACTTTTGTTTACTGAAGGTTCATATACTGAAAGTTCAAATTCAATTTTCTCCGAATCTCAAATACACGTGATTTTCATTCAAATCTCTTCACATCTCGAAAAGTGTATACCAGTACAATGACGCTTGTAGAATTGTATAACGTTTGATCTACGTACCATTTGTACAGAGACTTCGCCAAGTGGGATTCCAGAATTTCACGTTGTTCGACACGGAATCAGAACATCGGAGCAATAAGTATATAAATCGTAAACGCCACTTTGATTTTTGCAACCTCCTCGGCTCGCACATAAACACTCGATGTGTGTCAAACAAATGTGTTGTTTTTTTTTTTTACAGGTTGCCAACCGCGCAAATTTCTGTGTGGATAATCGAGGAAACGACATTACCGGCTCGGATTTGCACCGATGATACAAACGCGTTTTTACTTACCTACCGAAGTCATTGAAGTTTTTGATCAGTCAGTTCAGTTTGTCAAAAAAGTATTACGGTAAGATTTGGTCGTAAAAATTAGTCCGAAAAAATGTTTGTCATAATAATTAATTATTCCGACATTTATACAACTCCTTTCGGAGTTATATTAATTTTTATGAAGCTTACTATAATCAGAGAGAAGCCTGAGAGCGGCCACGGCCATAAAAGTTTGTGCGTATCCCCACCACGTCGGTGTTCTCATAGCGCGGAATAGAACCATGTCCACAAACTTAGCACGGGAATTGAACCGTGTCCGCAAACTTAGCACGGGAATTGAACCATGTCCGCAAACTTAGCACGGGAATTGAACCATGTCCACACGAAAAGCTATCGCAGAAACTCTTATGGCCGTGACCGCTCTCAGGCTTCTCTCTGCTGAAGGCGAGAATCATTTCTCCTGACTGCGCGCGAATACGATGCATTTTACATTATATACAACATATATATTACGTAAGTTTACTTTTTATTTTGTGTTATTACAATTTTTATATTTCAACATTCTGCTCTCTCACATATAAAACAAAAGCAATGTATTTTCTTCCCTTGGTACATTGCACATCACGTTAATGTTAAATTCAAATATAAACTGCCATCTAAATTACTGTTCTAGTGAATATTCGGCAATCGAAGAGTGGTACAAAGGTGTTCCTCGCAGTGTCTGAGAATTGGCGTCGTTGATTTGCACGACAACGTAATCACCGGCCTTTATGTCTCTCGTTGTGCCGGAATGTCGATCAATTGGAATATTTGTGGACGGTAATATAACCCTCACATTCCCGTCATTTCTGCCCTGCAGCATCTCAAAGGATTTTCTGCTCGTCTGTCGACATAAAACACGATGGGAGTTAAATTTTTATTGCGTTAATAGTACGCGTGACATTTAGATAATTGTCAATTAAAAGGAAATATAACACTCACGCCTTCTACGAGAACAAGCTGATGCCGCCTTATCTGCGCTCTGTTTAATTTTTCCGCTTCCCTTCTAAACAGCACATTCATGCGACTTAGACGCTCCAATTTTATGTGAGACTCGACGTCGTCCTCGTAACGTCGGTGCGCCGTAGTTTTCTGAGAAAAATCAGAAAAATCCGATACCAGAACAATTATAAACATCTTTTAAATACACTTGTGTGTTTTCAGTTCGAAAGTTGCGTCAGAACTGTGTACCTCGCGCATGCTGTAAGCAAACAGGAAAGCGATGTTGTATTTGACCTCGTCCATCAGGGACAACGTGTCCTGAAACTCCGTCTCCGTTTCGCCGCAGAAACCGCAGATGAAATCGCTCGAGAGACACACATTCGGCAGAATATCGCGTATGCGATAAGTCAGGTCCAGATACGCCTCCCTCGTGTATCCCCTTCGCATTCTCTCCAGAACCGCCGAATTTCCGCTTTGAGCGGGCAAGTGGATCTGGTTGCAGACGTTCGGTCTCTCGGCTATCAGTTGCAACACCTCGTCCGGAAAGTCCTTGGGATGGGGTGACGTAAATCTGTGGAAACGCGACGAATATGGGGTGACGATGAATGTTACGACAGTCGGAGCTGATATGTGAGTACCTTATTCTGATCTCCGGATTGATCAAAGAGACTTTGTCGAGAAGATCACTGAATCTTAAACCGCCTTTTTTGTTCTTGTAAACAGTTTTGAAACCCCTGGAGAGATGGGTTTCCGTGTTCGAAGGGGATAGCGCGAACTGCGATTGCGACAGATCCCTGTAACTGTTCACGTTCTGTCCGAGGAGAGTTATTTCCTTCACACCCTGATCCGACAACTGCTGAACCTCGTCGAGTATGCTGTCGATCGGCCGGGATCTCTCTCGTCCTCTCGTGAACGGAACGATGCAGTAAGTGCACATATTGTCACAACCTCTCATTATCGATCTACAAATACGTCAAGATATAAATTACTAGGTTTTTAAAAAAAAAACAATTGTCAAAGCGAGAACATACATAGTTCATCTGATTAATCTGTTTTACATGTGTGTATATATACGTTACACATATGCCCCAATGGAATTTTGATTGAGCCTGACCGGTGTGACGTCCGCGTAAGTTTCGTCGAACGATAACATAACGTTAACGGCGGTTTCGTTGTCGGTCACCGACAAAAGTCTCGGCAAGTCCTTGTAACTGTCGGGTCCCGCTATCAAGTCCACAAGCTTTCCCTTGTCCAGTATCTTGGTCTTTAAACGCTCCGCCATGCAGCCTGTGACAACAATTCAATTTTGCATAAGTCTGTGCGCGCTTTAATTTGAGATATTTCATTACATTACATCCGTTACAACACCGCGATAAGACTCGCCTAAAAGACCGATCTTCATGGGTAATCCAAGACACTTTCTCTTTTTCCTCAGACCGTTCAATTGTTCCAGCTTGTTCCACACTTTTTGCTCGGCGTTGTCTCTGATGGAACAGGTGACCAGCAGCACGATATCCGCGTCGTCCAGACTTTCTGTGTGTCTGTACCCGTGTGATTTCAACACCGACCATATTACATCAGCGTCGTTCACGTTCATCTGACATCCGTAAATCTCAAAGTAAACTAGCAAACAAAAAAAAGAGAGTAAGAACATTCATCACACTTGTATATCACACATGTGAGAATAAATGTAAAACATTACAGTGACGAATGTGTGTGAGAAAAAACCTTTTTGATTTTCGGCGCGAATGTGCGGTGCGTACGGGACGGGATCTTCATCAACGGGAATATGAACAGGAGAGGAGGTCAAAAAGTCACCCAGAGACGGTCCTTTTGTCAAATCTCTCGTCCACGATTTCAATGAAGGTTTTCTCTGATCTACGGTCTCGTCGATTCTATCCTCGGCTGTGTTTGCGTCGGTCGCACGTGAAAGCGCGAAGCTTCGATGAATCCAGCGACGCGGTCGAAAGCGTTGGACATTCGTGTATTTCTGCTGTACGAAATATCTCCCGAAGCAGTTTCCGTAAGACAATCCTCTCGACATGTCGTATAATCGTGAAGTGATTCTAAGGTAGAGATACAGAGAAAAATTCAATAATCTATTAAATATATATTTAATAAATATATATGTGCATACTTGAGTTATTAAATATCTCTTCTTCGAGTTTATATTGTCGTTAATCAGAGAAGAGCTAAACACGCGACTTTTAAAGGTTAAAACGTCCACTGTGTGCGCAACGTGCGAGACCTGCACCGATCTGCACCCAGTTTGAGAACGAACCAGGCGCTTCAATTTTTATTTACGTAACCCGAATAATAAAATTATCCGTGATGATTTAGGAAGGAGAGAAATAAATTGCAACAAATGTGTTGTTTCCGTCAGTTCGTTTGTTTACTTCGAGGTTTTTATTTTTCTTTTTTCGCTTTACGTAAAATATAAACGTAAAAAAACAGGACAGTTGTATATATATATATATATACATACATATATATATATATATATATATATATATACATATCTCAATATAAATTTCGTCTATATAATAATAATTACACTAATACACGCGTGTTTGCCTTTTTTGTTTCTTTACATGTATATATATATATATGTACAACAATGCAAATGTCGTCGTTATTACAGAGATATTGTGAAAAAATAGTGTAACATTTGCTCTCTCATCCGATTATATTCTAAATGATAGATTTATATTACAAAGGAGAGAACGTAGTCCTTATATTTATATATATATATATATGTTTCTTCTCACACACATGTACACTATATATATAAAAATTAAGAGATATCCCGATATCACTAATTAAAAGAAGTCGTATCACATATTTCTTTCATCCCGCACGCAAATGTAATTTTGCAACACGTGATTTTTTTTTGTTTTTCTAATGATAATAAATATACCATCTATTTTGGAACGTTTCTAAGCGTTTTACAATTGCGAAATATTCTAGAAACGATTGCACGTGTCCGAATACGTCGCAATTTTGTGCGGAAAATTTCATGAGCGTGTGTGTGTGTGTGTTTTAGTATCGTACATGTTTTTTGCAAAGCAGTCGAAAAAGAATTACAGGAACATAATCTTGCTTTGGTAAAAGCATATTGTATCGCGCGTTCACACATTTACCACAAAATTATGTCATTTCAGATTTCAATTCGAACCTAGTCTCTCTACCAGTAACAAGTTATTACACAGCTGCTAATGAAAAAAAACGAAAGATTTGTAATCAAGGTGTTGGAAATTGCGCACACAATTTTCCGTCATGATTCATCTTCGTTCCTCTTACACACAATCGCACTTAGTGTTAATATAAATTATCCTCACAATTAATTCCTTATCGATTTTGTTTTGTTTTCTTTCTTTCTTTTTTTTTGGAGCAATTAAGCGTCTAGCATCATTGTCTCTTTGAGGACTCAGCTAAGCTCCACACTATTATTATACAATAATAATATATATACGAGATATATATACTCAACATTTCCAACTGATAAATATAAATTTCGCCTAATATAAAACTTTCTCCCAAGACTCGGATATTAAATCCACACAAAAAAACATGCGAGGTTGATTATCTCACTCAGAGAGAACACATTGATAAAAAATTACATTAAGATCTCTAGAGAAATAATTTATTATTCTTGTAGAAACAAAGAGGACGGACACTTGCGATTTCGACGGACAACTTGTCATGAAATTTTTCATGAAAAAACGTTTGTATCGACTATTTAGTCCGCGAAAAAAAAATAACGCGTATACTTTTTTATACATGATATGTCTTCTAAGATGTAATTTTGTTCTTCCTTGGGAAAAATAAAGTTAACATCGGTTAATAATTCTGACGAAGAAATGTTCTATGCGACGTAAAAGCAAGCAGTGACGTTAAAAGCGTTACGTACAAAGATAAAAGTAAGATAATCATCCTTTGATATTTATTATCATCCTATGTAATATTTGGTCAAACCGTTTTCTCGACAAATCACAGCAAGTGATTCAGTCACTCGTAACTAGCAATAGAGAAATAATTATTATCAACATATTATATATATATTTCTTCAACCCACATGTGCAGCTATTAAAAAAAAAAAATAAATAAAAAATATTGCTTTGTAAAATTGCTGTTCGTTGCACGTAAGGTTTTTGAAGATAAAAAAAACACAGAAAATTTATGCATTTTGTTTTTCACATGTGTTATGTTATTTTTTATGTATATACGTATATATAAATATATATATATATATATTTATATATATATATATTTCAATTTTGATTCTATCACACTATTACATTTTGTTTAGATTTGTGTGTACATACACACTGTGTACAATTTTAAAATAATATTAAGTTATAATACAGATTGAGTCTCTTAATATTTGCTTTTTCAACCAACATGTTTGCACAAAACATAATAATCGATCGATTTTTTTCACTCGTGTTTTATATACATAAAACAATATATTAAAAACTCTCAAGATGTAGTGGGTTGAATGTAAATAAATATTATACAGATTTCAAATGGCATCATCAGGCACTGTCGACCCTTCGTAAATTTCGCAAGTTCGAGTCTGCAATTTGCAGTTTCGAACGTACAGTTTTGCACATCTGTATAAACTCTGATTTACAACGGGTCTCGAGATATATATATACAATGTACATATACAAAAGCTAG